TAATAGATAATATTATCTTAAATCATTGGGTCTAGCATGAACTTTATTATAAACTATTATAGTTATTATAAATATAGTTTAATCTGATTACTATAAAAAAAAAAAAAAAAAAATAGTGTATAATCTTAGTCGTGGTAGTAATTTATTATCAATATTTATATTTGGAAAATATTGATAAATAGTTTGATAATCACAGACTTCAATACTAGACAGTGTAGTATAGAAGTTTGTGTTGATAATAGGTAATAACGATAAGACGTGTGTTGTGTTTTATTTTGTGGAATACAAAAACATTAAAATACAAATTCCAGGTTTTAGTTAGTCACAGAATGTTTCTGAGTAATTATACTGATTACTGAGTATTTATTACTTCATTAAGTCAGTGAAATTGCTATTTATTTCCGTTAATTCATTTGTCAGCAATATAATCTTTTAGTAAGTATTAAAAATTAAAGAATACAGACTACTTTTATTAAAAATTTTTTTACGAAAATTATAGTTCAAATAGAATCTACAGCAGTCATGAGCGATGATGATGTTTGGCGAACATCAAGTTTTCGTCAAAATGTGGTCAACAAAATGTTAGTACTTACTCAACTTAATTATTTTACATTTATATCAATTTACAATATTAAATAGTATATAGTCTGTAGTGAAAGTGCAATTGTTTTTATTAAACTTATTTAAATTTTTGTATTTTTAGTGAAGAAGCTGTTGCTCAATCCGGAATGCCTACACAAAAAAACAGTTTGGAAATGGAAAATCATGTATTCTCAAAAGCTAATAGTAAAGTAAGTACATAAGTATCTAAAATATTTTTTTAATTTATTTTTTTTACCTAATTACAACAAAAATAAAAAAAAAACTAACTCATATAATTAATTAATTAATTAATATAACATATTAATAATAATTTTTTATAATATATTAATAATCAATCACAGGATAGGGAATGCATTGAAAGGAAAAACACATATTTGTATTTAATTATTACAAAGCAAGCCCAGAATCAATAATATACATAATAAAAATAAGAAATAAGAATAAGGATGGTACCTACTTAATCTATTAGTACCTACCTAAAAAGGTGATAAAATAATGACAATTTTTAAAGAGGAAATACAATTTTCAAAGATAACAAATGATGGGTCCTTAAATCTTTTAGATTATTCTTAAAAATGAAGAATTATTGATATTATTTACATACATTAAAAAGCAATAATTACTAAAATTAAATTAATTATACAAAAAAAGGTGTTTTTAAATTAATTAAATTATTGTTCTAGATAAAATAATTATAACTGTTTTCATTTTTATCACATCTCATTTTATGCTTAAAAAATATCTGATAAATTAACTTATACTTTTAAATTAACTAATTACTTTTGTTTCTTTTTACTATAGATAATTATTTTATTATAATCATTTATAATAATAATAATCATTGTGTTGCCATGCATTCTTTAAAAACCATTAGTATTTATTAGATTGATAGGTTTTTTTTTTATATCATTTCCTGTGATAACAAATATTAGATAAAAAAAATTTATTAAAATTAGGTACCTAGTATTAATAAATATTTTTACTATTAAAATAAATCTTAACACATATGTTGTATTTACTATGTAAATAAATGTTTAAATAAATTATACACTTACCTTATTTTTTTTTTCTAGGATGAGTATTTAAATTTTGTTGCACGTTTATTGTTACATGTAGGTGGAAGAGATATGAGTAAGTGCTGCTATTATTTATTTTATTAATAAAATATTTTTTGAGACTAAAGTGAATTTTGTATTCTAATTATTTTTATAACATTTTTTTTTCAGGAGGTGGTAACCAAATGATGACCATGAACCAGAATGCAGGTCCTGTAAATGCAACTACCTGTAAGTATTCAAATTCTTAAGTTATTAAATAATAAATAACCATCATATTATACTCATTTCAGTGTTGCAAACTTTAAGTAATCGACCACAAGCCCAAAACAAATTACCTGGTCCTATGACAATGGGTCCAGGTCAAATTAATCAAGGACCTCCATTAAGACCCGGAGCTCCTATAGGTCAAGGGCCAATGATGCAGAATCCTAATGCTGGGCCTATGAACAATCAGATGGGACAAGGACCTCAGGTGCCTATGGCTGTAGTCATGGGTGGTCCCCCAATGCAGGGTATGCCTGTACAAATCCCTGGTCAGCAGGGTATGCCTGGAGTTGTCCCTGGTAATATGCCACCTAATTCAATGGGCCGTATGCAACAAAGAAAAGTATTTTTATTTTATTAAAAATATAATTTGTTCATGAAGATATATTTAGGAAAAAACAAAGTGACAACGCTCTGCTACTCATAGGTTGTTGTTTTTTTCGTGTAAATATGTTTTTTTTATAATATTGTAAATTCTTAATGTATAATATTTAAAATATATTATATAAAACACATTTGAGCAACAGAGCTCTGTCATTAAAATTAAATTTTTCCCATCTATTTTATATTATAAAAATATTTATATATAAAACAATAAATAACCTAATAGTTAAAATTACAATGCTACTATACTACTATTTCCAAAAAAAAAAAGAAAGATAAAAAAGACGAAATTTGAACATAAAAATAGTGAGTGGGGGGTTGAAAATTGTAACCCTCAAAAAGCACATCTAGACATCCTTAATGTTAAAATTATGTGTTTACAACATCTCACCCCAGTTTACTTTGAGTGGTTTAAAGCTAAAAAAATATGGTTCTTTCACAATAACATGGTAAGGTTCAACACAATTTTATCACATTGATCTGATTATAAGATACCTAATCCTCAAGTTCAAGTTTATTTAGTACAGATTGAAAATCTATACCCACCAAATAAAAACTAGGTAAAAAACGCGTAAAATTAAAATGTCTATAAATAGCTCAAAAATTAATCAAATGTTCTGAAAGTTTTACCAAGTCTAGAAAAAGTAAATATAAGATTTTTGGTCAACATTTTAAGTCCCTATGAATTTTTAAAACTGAATTACATTAAAAAACAAAATTTAAAATAGTAAAAGAAAATCTAAAAATGACCTCTCTAATGCACCAACTAGACAAAATTTCCTTTCAAAAAAGCTATTATACTCTATGGAAGCAAGAATATTTATTATTATATAATATATTTGTTTTCTATTTCATTATTATAATATATCTCCTTTTATAGGATCTTATTTTTAATTTTTATTGGTCTAAATCATAGTTAACACAAATTTGTTTAACTATTGTTTAAAATAGATGCCTGGTGGACCAGAAAATGTAATGATGATTCCTAATCAACCTGTAGTTGGATATCAAGCAGGACCTCCAAGGTCTGTTAACACTAATCAATTTCTTAGCCACAATAGTCCTTCGTCACCCCAACAATCTCCTGTTAACGTTCTTCCATCAGGGTAAATATTTATGCTTTTATTTTATTTTATTTACTTACCTTTAATTGGCTTAATGCTTATCAACACACAAAATATCAATTCTTTGTACTTAAATTTTAAATACAATATACCTATGTAAAGGAGTATAATTTTTGAAATTCATATTTTTATTCAATTATTACCATAATCACATTTTTTTAGGAATCAAATGATTGCTTCACCAAGTGGTCCTCAATTAACTCCAGGTGGACCTATTAGGTCAATTGGTATGTATTTGAACTTATATGTGTATCGTGTTAACTTATTAACTTTTCGTTTTATAATTTATAGTCATTAGTTAATTATGATATTATAATAACTATTTATTTTTTACCATATACACTAGTAATAGAATATTTATTTTTAATATTTTTCAGGTAACGCACCTTCTCCTGGTTCAGTTCCATCATTAAATACTCCAATGAATCCTTCATCTAATGCTGGTCCGAGTCCTCTTGCTCAAGAAGACATAGCATATAGAGAAAAAGTAAGGCAACTCAGCAAATATATTGATCCTTTACGCAAAATGATAGCACGCATTGGAAATGAAGGTAATGTATTATAATATTAAAGATAAATAATTATCGAATGATTAAGTTTACTACTGTTATTAATTTAAATATTTCTCATTTTAATTATTGTAAAGATGTGGAAAAAATGACCAAGATGAAAAAGCTTCTAGAAATACTATCAACACCCACTCAACGAATGCCTCTAGAAACCTTATTAAAATGCGAAGTTGCATTGGAAAAATTAGATTTAAGCAGAGTAATTATTTTTTATTAAGTGTGTTTCAGTACCTTATTACTATTATTGTCATTAGGGTGAAAGTGGCAGTGTACCACCCCCTCAATCAACTTCCATGAGAGAGGTACATCCATTAATAGAAGTAATTGGATCGATGATACAATCTCCAAACTTTAACCATACACTTCATAGAACATTTGCTCCCTGTATTGAATTTATGGTTGGCCAGAGACGACCACTGTAAGTTGAATTTCGTCATTCGATTATAACTTTGTAATACATTCTTAATTTATTTTTTATTTTTTTTTTTTTATTTTAAAGGTCACCACCTCCATACACTGGAAATGAAAATTCCAACGAAGTTCAAAGTATCATACCAAAAGCATTAGAAGGAGAAATCGCAAGACTCGATCAACGTTTCAAGGTAAAGTTAATACTCGTTAATATAAATTTTGGTAAATTTTTTCTTATCAAATACTTATTTAGGTATCTTTAGATCCTGTGCGTCCCAGTGGGGCGTCTTGTATTCGTCTTTTGTGTTGGTTAGATGATAAAAACCTTCCTTGTGTACCTCCTATTAACATTATTGTGTATGAGAATTATCCACCTGCTAACCCTGCGTGTATAATTTCGTCCAATGATTATGGTGGCACATCATTTCTCATGTGTGTCAAGGACGTGTTTGAGTCAAGAATGATGCTGATGCCCGTTCGTTTCACTGTATCTCACATTCTTGATTCATGGGAGATGAGTGTAAGACAAGCAGTTGCTCATTTGCTAGATAACAAAGATACAATTGCAAATGATTGATCAAACATAGTATTATTACTCATATTTCCTGAAAAAAATGAATTTTATTAAATTATATTTGTTTTATTATATTTTATTTTGTTTTTTTTTCGCATATTATATATGCTTGTAAATTATTTTTATACAAATATGTATCTACAATTTATGTACCTATTATAACTACACTCCATATATTTAACTTTTACTTAGAATCAATACCTTAATAATTTGTTTTGTGAATTTCTTTCTTTTCTAAGAAACAGTTGGTGTTCGATTTGAGATTGCGTGGTTTCATGGTGATTTATTGCAAAAATTGTTAATAAGTATATGAAAACTGCAATTACTCATTGTAAAACCAGCAACAGATGCCCGAGTATATTTCATCGCATAAAATATATTATTAAAGTTATGTGGACCATCCAAATTGAGGGGAAAAACTGGTGAAATCGATAAAAAATTTTAAATGCTGGGTAATTCTTAAAATAAATTAAATAAGTTAATATGTGCAATTGACCATGCAAATAAACATTTTGTACAGATTGTGTAGATTATTATTGGTAAACATATTAATGAATGTTGTTAATTTAGTTACAAACAATTTCTTTTGAAAAGACTTGTTGCACTTTATTCTTTGTGAAATGTTCTTATTTAATAGAATTGTTAATGGGATTTTCATTTTTTCAAAAATTTAGTTGTTTATGTATAAAGGTATACACCTACTTGTGCTATTGACACCTAGAAATATTATTCAAAATTATTAGGTACGAAGGTACTAGTTATATTTTATGTTTACTTGAATTACATAAACATGTGATGCTCCTCTTGGCAAAAGATGCAAGGCCATAGCTGGGGATTTGGGAGACTGAACATCCAAATTAATTTTTCAGCCACCTATTTTCTTGAGATGGTATAGTATTTTAAGTTCATCTCCACACAAAGTTATGCATGTGGATATTTTAAACCATAATTATAGGTATTTGATGAAAACACGAAACGAGCTCTATTTTTAAAAGTTTACAATTAATAATAAAAAAAGACTGATATACTTCGCACGATGTGTGAGCCACTGTTAGTAGAGTCAAATAGATGGTTCAAAGCCAGAAGCAGGGAGCGGGGAGCAGGAGCCATCCACCTCTTCATCGGCCTATTTAGCCACGTCCCCTTTATTTATTTTCGTTCAAATTTTGTCTTTTGCTATCCACCAAGTAGACGACCTATTTTGACCACGCCCACTTTTTTTATTTATTAACATTATTTTTTTTCTCGAATATTATTTTCTATACCAATATGGATCGCTTACGCGAAGCCGCCGCCCTCTCCATAACCACCACTATACATGCACATACGTACCATCACCGCACAAGTGTTCACAGCTATTATCAGTTATCATAATCATTATCAGTTACCACTAACATTATCACATATAGGTATACGAAAACAATAATTATCAAATATTATTTTTATTATCGTCCGCGTCTTCGAACGTCGAGTCGGTATAAAATATAATACATACCAGATGTTTTCATCGGCCGGTCGCCGAGTGTTATTGTCGCGTATGCTAGTATTAATATCTGTTCGATGATCTACCGCCCGAGTCGAAAATGACGATAAGTCGTTTTCTACGTAATCAAAATAATAGCTTTACGAGTAATAATTATGTCAATTTTTATTATACTGGACCTAAATTGTATCCGTTATGGATAATATACGCGTATATACGATGAGACCTTTTGATGTATGTGCTCAAAGACAATAACACCTAACCGCAATAAAACCGTTACTTGGGTTGACCGTCACCGTGCAGCATTTGTGTATTAAATATCCGCCCGCGGGTCCCTCATCGCCCGAACATCTGTGAATTATTCGATAGTTGACATTTGCCTATAGAAATTTATGATAAAGACGTATAATACATCCCCGATCACGAATATCGGTCAGTAGTATTTTTTCTACACACACGTATACACATTGTCCTCTATAATATTTTATTCTCCGGCGTTTTTGTAAGAGTGATAATTGTAATACCTAATAACATTTTAAAGATTAATTATAGTGTTTAATTTAAAATGTATTCTTTCAAGTTGAAACCTATTTCCTTATGTAGGTATCTAGGTTTTTTTCTTTCTTTTGATAATCCAAATTTAATGGAGCATAATAAAATATACTTACATTCTGTAGACGTTAAATTAATCTTTTTAAATAACCTAAGAATAAGTCGATGATTTTTTAAGATCCAAAGACTGAACTACCTAACGATATATTCATCATTTCCATTATGAGATTATACGTACTACCAACCTAATACCTAGGTATAATACGGCGATGTATCATACGTATTATTTTAAAATTAAAATTCCGTATTCAGCATTGTATAAAAGTTAATCTAAATATTTTGAGCGTTGTATTTAAACAGTAGGATAGAAAGCATGATTTTGACACCACTGCAAAACTATAAGCAAACTAGTCTAACCCACCCTTATGTCTACCATCTACTGGAGCTATTTAAAATTTAAAAAAAGTGATATTTCTAAGTCGATTTTAAAAAATCTGACTATGCCAAACTTATGCCAAAGCTAAGGTCATACCCCCTTTCAAACCTATGCTAACCTAACCCCGACCCTCCTCCCGCCTTTTCTCACCCAACTGAAACTTAAGCCCAACTACTAAGTCCAATGCACATTGGAGCTATCTAGGCCACGCCCCCTTCCAAACCTATGCTGACCTAAACTCGATCTATCACCCGTCCATCCCCTCCACTGCTGTCGTCCTCACCAACTAGTCCAGGCAAATAAGTCTCAATTTTGATAAACTTTGACAAAAAAGTTACACCGTTGACTCCCACTTCTCGATACAGATATACCGGTCTTCTGGATTTTTAACTCTTTGATGAAAAAGGAAGCGTAGATGAAGTGGCTATCGATGGGCTGTTGCTGGTAGTGTACAAACCCGCTTAGTGGTTCATCCTACATTGAGCTTCTTAGCCTTAGAAAAGTTGATAATAAATCCATAAAATACAGATCACGAATGTTTTAAACGGGCTAGCTAAGTACGTTACGGACGATCACCGATAAACGGCTCTCTTGTGAAAACGCCGGATGAGGTATTGTTAAAGTTATTGAAGGAATTCAATAACCCTACGTCCCTACAGCATTGATAATCTTTCACGGATCAGAATCAGAATCAAAGGTGGCGAAAAACGAAATGAAAACGAATATGCATAGAGGTGCTACTAGAGGCACACTGGAAGTGCTAAAATTATGTAGAGGACACAAGTTGATGGGGGTTATGCCCCCACACTACCAAATACCATATTCCATAATATAATATAATAATTTATAATTACTATAACCATTCTTAAATGCACAGTAAAAACAAGCACACTTATATTTAAATATATATATCATGGGCCCCCACACAATCCTGTATAGTGGGGCCCATTATATTTTCGAATAAATAAACAATAATAATAATAAAAGTAAGTATAAATAGTAATATATCTGATAAATACATTAGATACCTATATTACTTTATTTAGGTGATAAAAATAGTGATTAAGTATAAAACTTGTGAAAAAATCGAAAAACAATCTCAGTACATCCCCAATGAAATTTCCTTATAGAAAAATTGCTGTCATAATTTTTAGCAAAATTGCTGGTAAAAAATTACTCCAAAGAAAAAAAAAAATGTAATATTATACAAATATATTTTGTACATTTTCTCATTTTTCCTCCGCATTTGATGAGAAAACTCTTGAGAATGACCTCCCTAAAGTACCTGCCCACACCGATTTTCTTTCAGAAAAGGTGCTACACATACAAATCGGAGCAAGATCTCTGGTAGAAAAGTTGTCCACAGAACCAATTTTCAAAATGTTTGAATAAGTAATTTTATTAACAACATCTCTTCCAATATTTAAAATTGATACATTTGTAAAACATTATTGCTCCATATTTGCCCTTAGCCAGTTTTTTAGACGACCTATTGACGAGAAACTTCTCTCACACGTAGCACAACTCACCGGAATTGTAACTAACTAAAGAATTTACTATTTATTTGACTGCAACAATATTTTTGATGTTACATACCTAATATTTGATATAACTAATTATCAAAAACCATTTGCGTTTCTTCTAAAAACGTCAAATAAAAAAATACCCTACGTAAAACCAAAGAAACTATTTTTGGATTCGGAATGGATCAAAGAAGCTTATAGTTTTACAAAGATGTTTATTTATTTTTTCTGTGGACAACTTTTCTACTATTTGCATGCGAATTTTTCAAGGCAAGACTACTGGTAGATGACTTCAAGGAACGAGGATCGAGATTCGGTGATCGTATTATATTAAAGAGTATAATATTATGTATTTAATGTAAGGTTAGGTCAATCGACACAGTGGATTAGGCCTATTTGGGGACAACACTAAAATCAAGTGCACTTCATGCAATACCACATACGCTTTTTGAATAATGTCAAACACTCGTAATCATATTTCGTTGGCGTTCGTCGATAGCCAAGATGGTGCGGAAAATTACACACAGGTCTTATCAGTATCTTTATTGTAATTATTCGATAAGATTCAATATTTTAGGTATTATATATTATCTTTAATAATATTGGTTTGTATTGTACCGATTTTTCCGTTTTTCCTACATTTATCCCGGTTTTTCACATTTGATGAGAAAACATCTGATAAAATCGAAAAATAACTTTCTTATAGTACCTCCTTAGTCCGATTTTAGTTACAATTATATATTAAATTACCTGCAACAGTGTCTGCACCCGTCTCCATTATCCTAGGGCAGCTTTTTTCACACTGTTTTTCAATTTTTATCGTTTTTGAACTGGGGGTGCTAAATTAAAGTCTTGGCGTGCTAAAACATTCCTAAACATCTCCTTAGTTGCGCTTATGTGAATATGTCTATTGTAATGATAGAAAATTAGCGACCTATACATGTGACGAACTCTACAAGTAATTTATCCAAGATCGGATTCACGTGTGATGTAGAAAGATGATCATTCATATATATCATCTTTTCATTCTGAATATAGTATTCAAAATCAAATTATATCTCTGTTTTGATATAATATCATAAAAT